GAGACTCCAACTCAAAAAAAAAAAAAAATTTAATATTTTTAATGATAAAGTAGGCTGGGCTCGATGGCTCAGCCTGTAATCCTGCGCTTTGGGAGGCCAAAGTGAGTGAACTGCCTGAGCCCGCAGGTTCGAGACCCGCCTGGACAACTTGGCGAGACCTCATCTCTACAAAAAATAAATTAAAAAATTAGCCAGGCATGGTAGCACGTGCCTGTAGTTCCAGCTACTTGGAAGGCTGAGGCGAAGGATCACTGGACCCCAGCAGGTCGTGGCTGCAGTGGCCGGGAGCAGCCACTGCACTGCAGTCTGGGCAACTGAGTGAGACTCCAACTCAAAAAAAAAAAAAAAAAATGATGGAAGTATATAAAATTGCTTTATTATATGACTATAAGTTTATGTTTTTGTTTCAAAGCAGGTGATAACATTTAGACTTTTTGAATGTGTAACAAAGTTCTACTTTTAAAACCAACTTTATAGAATTATAATTTCTTATGATAGAAGTCTTCTATTTTAAGTGATTGTTGAGTTTTGACAAATGTATACCAATGTAACCACCACTAAAATCAGAATTATACATATGCACACACATACATATATATGTATTTTGTGGTGATAGTTTTGCATTAAAATTGTGTCATTTTGAGAAAATATTAAACACACATTCTCTCACACAATTAGATACACAATAACTGTGTAGTACTCAGAATTCCTGTGGTAATGGTGGCTAGGTCAAACAACAAATGTCCTTCCATTCTTAATACAGAATATGTGTATTTCTTAAATCAGAAGTTTTTATTCACAAACAATGCCTGTTTGCAGGATGACCTCAAAGCAACATTAAAAGCAAGGAATCAAGAAGCTAAGCAGTTAACTCAGTTAGAAAGAACACGACAGCGAAATCCATCTGATCGACATGTTATTGTATCCTTTGAATTTTGGTCTTTAAAAAAGTGTTTTGTAAGGAATGCAGTACAGAAGTAAATGCACATAAAAATTGTGCATTCTTTTAAATGAGAGGAGAATTTAAATATAACGGTTGAAAAGAAACACATGGGAATCCTCACTATAAAAATTAACTAACTTTAAAGAGGTGAACCTCCTCATATTGTTTTACACAATAGAGTTTGGGAAAAAAAAATCTTAGTCATAAATGCAGTTTTTTGTTTTATTTTTTTGGGTGAGTGTTTCACTGTCACTCAGGACTCAGATGATCCTTCTGCCTCAGCCTCCCGAGCAGCTGTGGATACAGGACACTTGACACCATGCCTGGCTTTTTTTTGGGGGGGTAAAGATAAGGTCTGACTTTGTTGCCTAGGCTGGTCTCAAACTCCTAGGTTCATGCAGTCTTCTACCCCAGACACCCACAAAGTGCTGGGATTACAGGCATGAGTCATAGTACTCCGCCAATGCAGATGTTTTTATACAGTAAATTCAGATTTGTGATTTTTTTTCCTCAAAGGGTGATGACTAAATGTTAATTATAAGTTTAAATACCTATCATTTATCCTAATATATCAGTGCCCTTTCTGCCTTGCTTTTGAGAAAAGGAAAGAGAATTTTTTCATTATAATTCCTTCCATCTTTTAAAAATAAAACAACTACATGAAACCACAATGATGCCACTGATCCTCTGGAAATTTTTTTTTTTTTTGAGTTGGGTTCTCTGTCACCCAGATTGGAGTGCAGTAGCCGCTCCCGGCCACCGCAGGCTCAACCTGCTGGGCTCCAGCGATCCTTCCGCCTCAGCCTTCCGAGTAGCCGGAATTACAGGCGTACGCTACCACGCCCAGCTAATTTTTTTGATTTATTGTAGAGATGAGGTCTCGCCTGCCCAGGCGGGTCTCGAACCCGCGGGCTCCGGCAGTCCACTCACCTCAGCCTCCCAAAGGTGCAGGATTACAAGCTGAGCCACCGAGCCCGGCTGATCCTCTGGAAATTTAAGATTGTGATTGAGTTTCAAGCTGTAGACAATGGGATCTAGATAGGAGTGTCTACTGTAACAAGGTTCTTTTTTTTTTGGAGTTGGAGTCTCACTCTATCGCCCAGACTAGAGTGCAGTGGCCACTCCTGGCCACTGCAGCCTCGACCTACTAGGCTCCGGTGATCTTTCCGCCTCAGCCTTCCAAGTAGCTGGAATTAGGCACGCACTACCACGACCGGCTAATTTTTTATTTATTGTAGAGATGAGGTCTCGCCAAGTTGCCCAGGTGGGGCCTCGAACCCGCGGGCTCAGGCAATCCACTCACCTCAGCCTCCCAAAGGCACAGGATTACAGCCTGAGCCACCGAGCCCGACTGTAACAAGGTTCTTAAACATGACTTTTTAAAATGCCTTTTGTGAAAACTGCCAAACATGTGACTGTTTCTTAAACTGGAATGTGTCTTGTGCATGTCTAAACAAAAGCATATAAGAGTACTTCCCTAATTGCCAGCAATTGGTATAGTCAGAACTGTTTTCCCCTTTCTTTCTTTTTTTTTTTGAATCAAAGTCTCACTGTCACCGACACTGGAGTGCAGTGGCATGCTCATGGCCACCGCAACCTCGACCTGCTAGGCTCAGGCGATCCTTCCACCTCAGCATTCCAAGTAGCTGGAACCACAGGTGTGTGTTACCACACCTGGCTAATTTTTTATTTATTGTAAGATGAGGTATCACCAAGTTGCCCAGGCTACTCTCAAACCCATGGACTCAGGCAATCCTCTCCCCTTGGCCTCCCAAAATGCTGGGATTATAGGCATAAGCCACCACGCCCAGCCTCCCTTTCTTTCTTGTCTGTCTCCCTGCTGCTTTCCTAAGGTTTTTACTGCCCAGCTCAGCCAGAAACCACATAAGCAGTGGCTCTTAAGAGCACCTGGGGTTCCCTCCAACATCTCCATTCCTGAGGGGAGTCCCTTGAGCAGGGATTTGTGTGAGTTGCTTGGTTCTTCTTCCTTGGACCAAAAGTATGTAAGCCCAATTTTGTGATAATGAAAAATGGGCAGTCTTAGGGTTGGGAGTGCCCACTGGAGTTTGGAACAGGAATATCTATATAGTTTTTGAGGCTTAAGATTTGCAAACTGGACATTATAGATGCTGTGTTTTTAAGCAAGTCAGATAAACCAGAGAATGCTGAAAAATTAATGACTGATAACTAGAGATCAAGGCAGAAGCCAGGGAATGTCATCATGATTAGGAATTAAACTAGAGATCAGAATGTTTGTTTTGTTTTATTTTTTTCTGGGGTGTGGGTATAGGAAGTATATGAAGGTAGTAAAATGTAACATCTGAAATGTTGGCAAGATTGAGTCAGGAGTATTGGTATTGACACTCAACACAGAAATGAATCTATTCCTCAAACACAGATTTTTCCGACTTAGGCTCTGCTGTAAACACTGCTGTGCAAGAGAGGTCATCTTAAAGCCTAGATGAAGCAGGTCTGTGAATTCTCACGGGGGAAAGAAATACACATGAAGAGATGATTGCTACAACTAAATCACTTTGCTCAGATTTGTCACTTGTGTATTTTGACAACCTGAGACCAAAAAATAAAGGACAGTCTACATACAAATATATTCAATATAAAGATTAAAATATCCCGTCATGGTATCATAGAATTGCTACCAGGATAGATGCTTAAAATTTCCCTATTTAGAAGAAATATGCTGTCCCTCCGATAACAAGAGGATGCTAAATAAGGGGCTCTGTCTGCTCAGCCCCTAAACTCAGCCCCAGGTGGTTTCTAAACAAGCTTCCTGGAACCATTTGAGAAACACCAACCGGGCTTACCCTTTTATAAATCATTTTCAACTCTCAGCTAATTCCATTTAATATGCTTATATCTTTATTCATGAAGTTTTATTTTAGTAGTTTAATCAAAATTATATCCTATCCAAATTGATTCATTATAAGATTTTGAAGAATGTTCAGTGAAAGGAAGAAATATTAGAAATCTATATTCTCTTTGCTAAAAATAGCTGTAGATTTTGGATGAGAAGCCATGCTAGAGTAAAGGGATTTGAAACTTTGAGAAATGAGTTGTAGTTGCTGGATGGTGATAGAAGGTTAAGACGGGCAGGGCATAGTGGCTCACACCTGTAATCCCAGAACCTTGGGAGGCTGAGGTGGGAGGATCATTTGAGGTCAAAAATTTGAGACCATCCTGGATAATAATTCGAGACCCCCCCCTATCCCTACAAAAAAAACTGCAAGAGTATATAATTAACATATATCTATAATTAATGTATAACCTAATTGCAAGAGTATATTCTATGAGTATGAGTAAATGATTTTATTTTTTAAAATCAATATGATTTTAATTTATTGAAAAACTTGTTATACTTTCTTTGATTTGTATTTTTTTCCTTCATGAAAAATTTCAGTCACAGGTGGGTAATAAAATGGCATGTCAAGAAATGGATCCTTACAGTAAACCTTTTTACTTGTTTCAATTTATACATTTTGTTTCAAGGGCTAAATATCACAATATTATAACATATCACAAAACTTTGATGACAAATGCAAGTTTTTCCCATGATTAATTATTAAATGATGATATATGAGACTTAAGTAAATATAATTCTAGCATAGAAAACAAAACTTTACTAGGAAGAATGTAATTAGAATGTTGGGCCATATCTTTTTTAAAATTCTACTTTAACTATTTAAGAAAAAAATTTTAAATGCTTTTGGGCAACTAGTGTCCTAAAGAAGGAGATGCTTAAGGAGAAATACATGATGAGATTGGAAATGTGCTGCACTTGACAGTACTGTAGCCACCAGCGATAGATGGCTCTTAAGATGCAACTAGAGCAACTTAGGAAACAATTTTAAAGTTTATATTTAATTGTAATTAATTTAAATATAAAGAGCCACATGTAGCTAGTGGCCACAATATTGACTGTACAATACAGAACTAGAGATTATGACTACTATCAGAGTATCTGAAGCAAAGCATTAGACTTACCCTCTGATTTATGACTTACAAGTATATGTGTTTCTTAATACACATTAAATAGAAACAATTTAATCTTGTCAGCTTATAAAGAAAAATCTACAAATTGAAATCAATATGTACAGTGTATTTTCTACTCCATGTGATAGGATGTTACAGAATTTGAAATATCTTATGCATTTGAAGAACTAGTAAAAGTCAACAAGGTAGAAAGACTCTTCAGTTATATACCTGCTAGCCCAAAGTACCTCAATATTATAATTATAAAAGAAGAATAAATCACAGATTTTTAGCTGTGGAAACTGATAGCTGTAGATCTTTCTGCTATGTGCCACTTTCCCTTGTCCTTCACAAAGACTGTCTCATTTAATCCATACAATAGTTCTGTGAGATAAACATTATTGTACTGTACAAATTGAGAAACAACCTGTAATGGGAAAAACTGAAAATACTTGTTACTAAGTCAAAAAGTCCTTTCATTCTAAGGGAGAAATGGCTAAAGGGGAGAGAAACAGAAAAAAAAGGATCTTATGAGAAATAGCACAAACAGTGAAACAGATGGAAGTCGTAGAAAATACAGAAAATGACTTCACAGTCAGTCATCCAAGGGTAATAGAGAAAATGTGTAAAAAGAAAGGGAAGGATTTTTGTTGTTTTGAGAACCTGAATCATGTTACTTAATGACTTAAAGTTTGTTATTTCCATGTGCTTATATAGATCACCTTATTATATGTGGTAAAATGTACTGAACAACTTACAGTTATGTCTAAAAGCCAGTACTTTAATGATGACATTTAAATACTCAACTGAATGTATTCTGATTAGATTTTTTTATATCTTTGTGTGCGAAATACTTCTGTAGGCAGAAACTGAATTACATAGAGCTACAATTGCTGCAACTCGAACAAGTCGTCATTTGGAGGAAACTATTGGCAATTTTGAAAAGCAGAAAATGAAGGATATAAAGGTACTAAAGCTACTGTTAAGGTGTAAAACACGTTTTTTAATCTTATTTGTAAATTTAAACTTAAGAGAAATTTAAATTCCTTTAATTTTTTCAGCTCATAAATGGCCCTTCTAAACAAAAAGACTTGTATCAAAATATATGAAATGTTATTTTCTATGGAAACAATGCTATAAAAAAGGGCCAACATTCCCAACCAGAGGCCAGATATTCAGCTTTTTATCACAAATACTAATAAATCCAGGAGAACTTTCATTTACTATGTTTTTATGTACCAGGTGCTATTTCAGGCACTTAACATAAATTATCCTTCAGTCTTCATAGCAACCCCATGACAATGAGGTGGTATTATTAAGAAATTAACCCAGGCTGGGCGCCGTGGCTCAGCCTGTAATCCCAGCACTTTGGAAGGCGAAGGCAAGAAGATTGCCTGTGTCTGGGGATTCAAGACCAGCCTGGGCAACTTAGTGAAAACTCGTCTCTACAATAAATCACACACAGAAAAATAGCTGGGCATGGTGGCGTACACCTGTAGTTCCAACTACTTGGAAGGCCAAGGCAGAAGGATTGCTTAAGCCCAGCAGGCCAAGGCTACAGTGGCTGTGAACACACCACTACACTCCAGCCTAGGCGATAAGAGTGAGACTCCAGCCAGGCTTAGTGGCTCAGCCTGTAATCCCGCGCTTTGGGAGGCTGAGGTGAGTGGATTGCCTGAGCCCGCGGGTTCGAGACCTGC